TAATATTGAACAGTTCGAGAGTCTCTCTCTATGTAACATTGGTTGGAGATCACTTCCTGGCTGGAGGCTTCTGGTCTCTCTTTGGCCAGGCAGGTCTCCCTCTGTATGAGCCGCTGCCTCTTGGGGGGCCCGCAGTGGAGCGGCTTTTTGGAAAAACTTCCGGTTTGGAGGTTGAGTAGCCTTAGACGCCGACAGGAGTTTCACGGAGTCCACTCTCTCCTTCATCTTTGACTCGAATCCTGAACCAAAGAGGTTAGGCCGAGCAGCCTCAAATATGTCCTCCTCTGCCAGGTCTGCAATGTCTGGGTTAACGGACTTTAGCATCTTCTTCCTCCTTAAACGGGACATGTTCGCCGAGGCATTTCCCAGGAGCTGAATGGCCTCTGTCACTAGGGGCCTCACGTCATCGCATAGGAGGGACACTTCAGACTGATCCGCCTCCTCACTACAGGCGTAAAGAAGACGTAGAAGAGGGGCGATAGGGTCGTCAATTAGCGCCTGTATCCGCGCCAACTCGCCATCGTTTGACTTGGCCTCCTTGTGGACGGATGCCGACTTGAATATTGGATCCAGTTTAGGGCACCTCGTCTCCTGGAGCTCTGGGCAGGGGAACCCGTTCCTCAGTCTTCTTCGGTCCTCCGTAGACAGGACCTTCTTAAATGAGGAAGTTACTAACCCCTTGTCGTTCTCTGACAACAATACCGGGACGCAAGGCTGGTCCGCCTCTGGCGGGTCTTCACCATCCTCTTCGTCTGAGACTAGCCACTGATGTGGCTGTCCATCACAAAAGTCCATGGGTCCTCTGTCTGCCCAGGGGGGCACCTCTGTTGCCCTCTTCTTAGCTGGAGGGGCTCTCTGCCCTTCTCCAAATAGTCAACCCTCTTTGAGACACTCTGTATCTCATTGCTGAGGGATTTTTCCATCCTTGCCAATTGGTATAGGATAGCTGCACCGGCATCACTCTGGATGTTGGTTTGGATAATGATTGGATCATCTGATAAAGCTTCTCTAGTTGCCATCTTTCTTCTTCTCGAGCACGAAGTAGAACTTCTTGAGGAGTTAGAAAAAAGGCCTGCGTGGTCACACTGGGTCAGGGCTTATATAAGGATGTTGAGCCCCACCCATAGGTGGAGCGAGTTACCGTAAACTTTCTAATTATTACTACAAACTAACTGGAATTTTAGAAAACTAGGCCAAACACCATTGATATGTGAGACTGAGCCTTCTGAAATATAATAAGAACACAATACACATTACCGTCTTTTAAATACAATTAGATGCTACTAACACATCAAGCAATACAACTGAATAACAGTAAAGGACACTATGCTACACTATTCAGGTAAGTTATACTAATAATAAGAACACAATACACATTACCATTTCTTGTATACAATTACATACTCCTAACACATCAAGCAATACGACTGAATAACAGTAAAGGACACTATGCTACACTACTAAGGTAGTGTAGACACAAAGTCTTACCACAACAAGTAATGTACTGTGCTACAAGGAATGAAGACAAAATATCTAACGTATTCTCAATTCTTTTATGATGTTGAGGGATCATTCATAACATTCTTTACGTGCAGATATCTTGACAATAATTATCATAATAAATATAATCTTTACAAAATGAATTTAAGAAACTGTTTTAAATGTTTTGTCTTTGCTTTTCTAGGTCTGTAGCACTATGTCCTAACAAGTAGAAATAGAAGGAAAACATACTGTCTGTTTTGTAAGCGCTCCATTGTCTACCTTTGTTCTCAGAGGCTAAGAGGGAACGCACACCATAACTGGAATGGTAACTGGCTCTTCCTTAGTTGGCTTGATGGCTAGAGGAAAGAGAGAACGAGTAACACACTACTGATAACCTCAATCTCGAGCGCTCAATATGCTATGCACATTTTTATTGAGTGCCTGCAAAATAGAACACTGTAGCCACTCTAACAATCACAGTTACTGTAAAGCTTACCTTTGTCTTTATCCTAAACAATGATGGAACTAGAGTTTTAAGTAGCAACACCATCAAGCAACTTTTTCTCCATTTTAAACTTGTATGGTCATGTGATCAGTCATGTGATGTCATTTGTAATACGGAAAGTAAACGGAAACATTAAAAATTGGTTTTACAGCAATTTCTCCACTTCTTGCTTGGAAGAACGATATACGAAGGCTCATCACTTAAGATAGGTAAGCCACATTGACGCGCAACAAGCACCAATCAATAGAGACTTGTAAGAGCAATTTTTTCATATGATAATATAATTTTTCAAATTTTTTGTCTTAAGGTCCACTTTCTCAGACCACGTCACATATAGTCTGCTGCAGAAAGTAATAATAGTGTAGGCTATATCAAACCTTTTCTTTCTTTAGTTCCAAGTTATAAGCTGGTAGCTAGTTGTTTACAGAAGAAGAAACGATCGTCGTCATTTATGACTGCAAAAAAGGCCTGCTATCTTACGCACACTGTATGCACTCCAAAAATAGCTAGCTGATCTTTCCTTCATGATGTCTGAGGAGTCCAAGGAGCTATTACAAGTAGCTATAAGGTTTATGAAGTGCCTAGAAAAAGAAGAAACTGTTCTACCTTTTTTCAGCTGCACCAACCAATGGACAAATAAAGTGGGCATGGTCTCAAAGCAACTTAAAGAAGAAGTGCGTTTTCTCCCATATCTTGCTTGCTTTTTGGAGAACAAGCTTAAAATTTATAAGATAACTGAATTAGTCCTTCAAAAGACGCTTAGGAAGCCAAGATGGTAAGTTTCTGTGCTTTCAAGCCTTTCTTTGCCACTTTGGTTGGTGGGCATGGTCTCGAGGCTGTTCCATTAGGCTCTTCTTTTAGCCTTGTTTCTTGACTTCTGAAGAATGGAAAGCTACAAATTATTTGCAAGACATTGTGCACAGACATGCTCTTGTATGTATTACCACAAATACAAATAATTATTGTTTATTTATGTTTATAACATGAGTTATAAAATGCTTTTCTGCATTTTGACTAAAATTTAACATGTACTATAAAGCTTAGCATTAGAACAGGCACTTTTAGTGTCCCTTTGTCCCATTTCAAAATAAACTTATCAAGTACGCCTGCACTGTTCTGATAATAGTATCTACACTAGCAGCTATTTAATTGAATGGATGATTTAGCTATTTAACCCTGACCGTGAAAGGGTTAAATAAGTTTTATATAGATCTTCAATAGGAGGAAATGAAGTCTCTACTAGGGACTCTGAATGGGCTACCACCGGTAGATGAGACCACCAATGATTTACAACCACACTGTAGAGGAGATAGAAGACCATCGCCTCCCACTCCCATAAGACCACCACTGCCAAATCAGAATGGTAGGCGTCCTGATGCAATACCTGCTGATGGAGGTAATGGTCACTGTCTGGTCGGGCCACCAGCAGCTGGGAGAGTAGCAGGAAGAGGGGGTGAAGGTGGTACTGGTAGAAGTAACGGGTCTCATGGTAGAGTTGCCAGGCGAGGGTCACTAGACAGCAGAGGTGAGAGACCAGGGACAGGATGAAGACAATGGGGCAGGCTAGGGAATCCATGTCCTTTAGCTACTTCTCCGCTGGGGTTTCCGATTGGATTAAGTAACTTGGGGAATACTTGTTTCACAAACTCTGTTTTACAAGCTCTGTTTTGCACTAGTTTTCATTCTGGTATTGTTAGTCATGTCGAAGTACCAGGTATATATATTTATGTAGAATAGACATAAATTTTTATTAACATTATAAATCATTGCTAGGGTGTAACCTTCTATCTCCTTGTTTTTTGTGTGAGGTTATAGCTGTTTTTGTGGGTCTTA